TGTGTGTTTAATGTGTGTTTAATGTGTGTGTGTGTTTAATGTGTGTTTAATGTGTTTGTGTGTTTAATGTGTGTTTAATGTGTTTAGTGTGTGTTTAATGTGTTTAGTGTGTGTTTAATGTGTGTTTTGGATCAACTAAACTTTACAGCACTTCACAGAGGTCGCTGCCAGGGATATCAGGGATGTTTTCACCATCGCTGCATCGAGTGCAGCCAGTGAAAGAGACGTTTCCTCCGCTGGAGAACGGTGAACACAGCTTAATGTGAGGGATTGTAGCCTGTGTGTGTTTAATCACAGGTGTGGGCAGGTGTGGCTTTGACTTAAACAGAATGACCGGTAACAGGTCGGGGTGGGTCTGGTACTGAGCTTTACGGGCATGGGCAGGTGCAGGACTCTGGTAGGAACCAATGGGCTTAGATCTGAGAGCCACAGACAGGAAGTCAGACAGAGTTAGGAGACGGACCAACATGTTGTTGGAGTTTAAATAAAACAACATTTGACCCAGTTTCTATTTTATACATTGAACAGTTTCTGGATTGACTTCACAAGAGAATAAAAATCAACCGCAGCCAAGAAGCAAGCTTTCATTTTCTACTTCACTATCTGGTGTTAACGCAGCCTTGAGCAGCAGCCATTTTAAAACTCTCCTTTGTGGTGTGTTCAAGGACAATCTGACATTCAGTCTTTAGAGAGCGTTGGGAAAAAAAAAATCCCTCCCAGGACAAAGCCGGCATGAACGTAGTGAAAAGCAACACCTGGATTTGGTTGGTAACCGTCAAGTCTCCGATGTCAAACAACAACAAGATGAACTGTCATCACTTACACCTGCCCGACCACCTGACCTTAACCCTCACACAGACATGCAGGTGACAAACTGACAAACAGGCGTCAGTCTCTGCGATTAACGGCTCTGAGAAACAGTTTAATGAGTGGAAACATCTGAAAAGCCTTTCACTTGCTGAGTAACACTTTTTTATGTCGTGAGAAGAAGAAACCGTGAGGTGTGATGATGTGAGAAGGTGTTACATCCTCTTACCCTCACAAGTGTCGTCCCCTTCTGACATCAGCTCATCGTCAGAGCAGATGTTCAACACGTTCACCAGCATCTCTGTCACTGTGTGAAAACACAGACCAGTGTCACACAGAAGCTCAAATTACAACTGCACGAGACATAAAGACAAATATCAGAGAGACTGAAACATGTTCACACAAGAGCTGCGACGCATTTTTATTTTCATTACTGGTTTAAAACAAACACTGAGCACAAACTGATTAGAGCTCACAGTGATGCCTTCATGGTGCTTGTTCTGTCCGACACCTAAAGATATATTTACCTTACTGTCATACATAATTTACCACTGACAATTTAACAACACCAACAACAACAACAACAACAAGTTACAAGGTAAACATGGAGAAAGCATTGAGGTAAAGTCTGCAATAGGAAAAAAATGCCAAGTACCAGTAAATAAATGTAAAGATAAACACAGGAATAAATAAATAAATACAGAAATTAATAAATTAAAGAATAAATAAATGCTGAAATAAATATGGAAATTAATTCTGCAAATTAATAAAAGCAGAGGTTATGACCTCCTACTTCACTGATATATTGAAAGAGAAATACAGAAATAATTAAATGCTGTCCTACAATATATAGAAATACATTTACGATATTTATTTATTTATGTCCTATTTAACTGTCAACTTTTATTTATTTATACATTTATTTGTTCTTGTATTTATTTATACATTTATTTATTTATGTATTTATTTAATTTTTATTCTTTGTATTTATTTTTACATTTTTTAATTTATTTATTTACTCATTCCTATACATATTTTTGTATTTATTTATTTATTTATTTATTTATACATTTATTTATTTATACATTTATCTATTTATTTGTGCAATAATTAATACATTTGTATATCTATTTTATTTATTTGTTTATTTATGAGTGGTAGATTTATATTTATTTCAATAATATATATCTATATAATAAATATATTTTTATAAATGTCCATATTTATTTATTTTTTTTAATTATTTCCATTTATATATTTATTTTTCTATTTATACATTTCTGTATTCCTTTTTTCATTTATACATTTTTTATCTGAATTCATTCATAATTATTTATTCATTTTTGTGTTTATTTATTCATTTATTTATTTATTTATTTATGTAATTATTACAACATTTAGTTATTTATTAATTGGTACTTTTTTGTCCTCCATTAGCTGATGTCCTGTCCACGTTCTAACCTGGTCGACACATTTCCAGCTTTTTCAGTTTGAAAGCAACAGGAGAGACTTCAGAGATACGTCCAGAGTCCACTGGAGCAAAGGGACAAGTTCGTGTGCTCCGCTTTACGTTAAACCTAATCTATGAAGTTTCTTCTGATAAACGACGGCTCGACTCTGAGAGCACCGGACGGGCCTGCGGTTCCTTGTGGGCGGCTGAAGCACGTTTAACCTCTTCTAGCACCTCATCAAAGTGAGCGGCGTCCTGTTGGAACGAAAACCACGAAGGCTGCGTGCAAATCACTAAATCTGAGTGACATTTACTGCATGACACAGTGCAGGTGTCCCAGCAACAGGAACAAAGACTTTTATTGACCTGATTTTTTTAAACAGAACCTGAAGTTAAATATCAAAGTGTGTTGTGCGCTCTGGTTTTGGGAGATTTCATAATGTGAAAAAATATTATTGTGGCTTTTTTTTGGTGCCAGACTGATTCATGTATTCTAGATATTATATGTTTTTGTCTAATAATGCAGCAAAATGTTGTTTTATTTAATGCAAAATTCTCACATTAATATCCCTCATGTCATGCACGTCTTTTAGAACGAGCCTCTGCTGCATGTCTTAAACAATACCTGGAAATAAAGAACAATTTCCTGTGTGAGGTTTTCTTTTTTTTCTTGGCTAACATTAATATTCTTTTCTCTTTTTGCTTATAAATAATCTCAATAACTTTGCAACTTTAAATTATATTCTGTTTTTAGAGTAACTTTGTACCATCTGTCCAGAAATGAAAAATGTACAGCTTTGTTTGTTAATGTACATGTTAAAAAAAACCTAAATAAATAAATTATAATTGTCATATCTGTGGTCAAATTTCTACATTTCCTGACTTGGATGTCCCTAAAAATGAGGCCCTGCGTCCTGAACTGTGAACGGGGTGTGTGTACACGGTGAACCTAATGATGTAACACAATCATACAAAGAGCTGAGAAGTCATAATGACGTCGCTGCTCTGATACTGCAGCTATGTCACATGACACATAACTCTCATCCGTGTCACAAGATAGATTTAGACTTTGTCTGGAGCTCCTCTGTTGTCTTCAGGCTGCTGCAGAAGGAAATACGTTTCACACACAGCTGGGCTGCGTGAGAGGAAACAGCGTGTACGGCGAGGAGCGTCTTAACAATTAAATGTGATAATAAAGTGATTTAAAGGAGAAACAGTGTCGTGTGTTGTTGCTGTTTTTAGATTGATGGGTTGCTTGATGTGTTTCCTGTGTTCAAACTGACATGCAGCAGCAAACACTATGTCACTGACATTATTTTCCTTTGTTTTACAACCTGTTTCAACAATGTTTTAAACTGACATTCACATTTATCTGTCAAAGAGATACAGACTAAAAACAGCTGTTTTGCACATTTACAGCATTTTTTGTTAACGTGTGTGTAACAGATTTTAAAGAAAGGGAACAAAAAGCACCTAAATGTATAATATAAAAATTAGGTTTTAGGTTAGTTTTATTGAAGCGGGTTAATTAAGATACTAGTGAAAAAGAGTACGAATGGATTTCAAATAATTTGATAAAAATCAGACACACGATACTGAAAAACCAATAACAAGCTAGCAAGCCACACGTTTCCTTCTGTCAGTTTATTTGTCTATTAATTGTCTGTCTGTTAGGTCGTAAGTTGTTCATTAGTTAGGTTCCGTTTCAGACATTAACTCGTCTGTTAGGTCATGTGGTTTGTAGGTTGTTTGTTTGTAAGATCATTTGTTCATTAGTTTGTCTGTTAGGTTATTGGTTGTGTTTGGTAGGTCGTTCGTATTTTCATAAAGTTGTTCCTTCATCCATTCAGTTCTTATTTCTTCCAGTAGTTCGTTCACTCGTTGGTTAGGTAGTTAGTTGGTTTGTCTGTTAGGTCGTTAGCGAGTTCTTTAGTTAGGCTGCTCATTCTTCCGTTAAGTCATTAACTCATCTGTTAGGTAATTCGGTTTTAAGGTCGTTAGTTTGTTAGGTAGTTTGTTCATCTGTTGGGTTATTGGTTTGTTTGGTAGGGCATTTGATATCTCGTTAGGTCGTTCGTTTTTTCATAAGGTTGTTGGTTCGTCCATTAGGTCATTCATTCATCCATTCAGTTGTTATTACTTCTATTAGGTCGTGCGTTCATCTGTTCTATGTTAAGTTGTTCACTTGTTGCTGGGTTGTTGCATGTCCGATAGGTCATTACTTGTCTGTTTGTTTGTTCATCCGTTAGGTCGTTAGTTTGTTAATGTGTTAGCTCGTTCATCCGTTAGGTCGTCTGATTGTCCTTTAGGTCATTAGTTTATTCGTCCGTTAGATCTTTAGTTTGTTTGTTTATCAGGTGGTTTGTGCTTTAGGTTACGTCATTCACTGTTCTGTTAGGTTATTTGTTAGTTAGTTAGTTAGTTAGTTAGTTAGCATGGTTATTTGTTTGTTTGTTTGTTAGGACGTTATTTGTTGTTATTTTGTTCATTAGTAGGATGTTTTGTTTGTTCTTCTGTTAAGCCAATTTTTTGTTTGTTAGCTCGTCAGGTTTTCAAATCGTTTGTTTGTTAGTTAGCAACCCACCATCTTTAGCTTTGTTAGCGGTTCATGGTCAGTCATTTTTTTGGCAAGCTGCTCATCATGAGAAAATAGTGGAGAGTAAGGAGAGTAAAACTGATTTCACTTGGAGCTCTGCTTTTATTTTTTTCATCCAAAGTCAAACTCTCAGTTTGTTGCTGAAGCAGCTGATATCAGAGCAGCAGCTGTCTGCTCAAACTGGAATTAATTTTATTAAAACGTTTCAGTTCTTTAGATTATAACTTTTATTTTAATGCCATTTTATATCATATTTTCAACATGTAAAAGGATCTACAGGATCTGCTGGAGGGATTATTTGGAAAAAAGTCACTCATTTTATTCTTGTTCTGAAATGTAAATATAAATTTGGTGTCTGAATTATACTGATTTTTATCTTTGTACAAATACTGCTGAATAACAGAAGAAACCTGTGAATATAACAGCTGATTCTGAGCTTCTGAACAGAAGTGAAAATCATATGTGGGTGTGTTTACTTCTGCCTCGACCGACAAAGTGTTTTTTTTGGATAATTCCTGCTGTAATAACTCTGCAGCCCTGACACACAGTCCTCACCTCCACACACACACACACACACACACACAATCACAGACTGATCTGCTGTCTCACCTTTCTCTCCAACGAAGGGCAGAGACCAGGTGAAGACGTCCATGAAGTTGGGCAGCCAGTAGGGGTGAGGGGAGCAGTTAAACTGCCGGATGTTCATCACATTATTCTCATATTTCAGCACCGCCGCTGAGGACAAAACACCCAACACACACATGTTAACATTTTCTACTGCATGATGCACTTCCTGTCTCCTGTTGCCAGGGCTTCAAGGTTTTTTAACCTGTTGCCATGGTTTCCATCCTTCACTTCTCTTACCTTTGTTATTGTACACATCCAGGTAGTTAGGAGCAGAGAAGATCGTAATTAAAGAAGGGAAGCCTGTCGTCTGACTTTTCCTGTACATTCGATACCTGACGGACAGAAAAACAAACTGTTGGAGGATTTACAGACAAATATAAACATAAAGAGATAAGATGAGATAAAGACTAGGTGAAATAAAATAAAGATAAACAAAAGATAGAGTAAAATAATATAAGGATAAGGATAATAACAAAATAAAAAAAACAAGATAAAATGTAATAAGGTAAGAAAAAAGAACAGATAAGATAAAGTGAAATAAAATAAAGAAGAAAAAAGACATAATAGAGATAAACAAAATACAAATTAAAATTAAGTAAATTAAGATAAGGATAAAGGAAAGATGAAATAGAGTAAATAAAGAAAAGGAAAAATAAAAGATAAAATTT